GATGTTTGAATGGAGCCCTGAATGAACAGGAGTTGGGCAAGCAGACCCTGTGCATGTGCTGGGCGAGGGGGGGGGTAGATTGTTTCAGGCAGAGCACAGGGCGGAAGCGAGGGCACGTGGTGAGAGACACCGGGGCTCTGACACACCCCTGAGCTGAGCGGGGTTAGCTGAAGGCTGCGCGTGGGGCCGGGTGAGCACACGTGGCTAAAACGCAGGAAGGGCTCCGGGTAATGAGTGTTAACTACCTTGAAAGCCACGAAGGGCTTCTGAAGGAGTCTGGTGTGGAACAGTCAGATTTGTGTGTCAAAGAGATCACCCTGGGGGATGACTCATGGGGCCGGGACAGGACAGGGAGTTGTGGCCAGACTCAGAGGCAAGCTAAGTGCTGATGAGCTATGGCAGTGGGAGGGAGACGGGGAATGACAGCTTTCTACTGCAGGTGAAGCCAGGATGTTCTGGCTTGGGTCTCCGGGCAGGTGATTGTGGTTTTCATTCGGGGAGGGAGTGAGGAGAAGCTACTTTAGCCAAGAAATGGAAGACTTCACGTGCCCATGGAGTGCGAGGGTGGAGATGTCCAGTGGGCGTGGGATGTTTGGGGCTGGAGCCCAGGAGAGAGGGAGTCCGGTCCGTAACCCAGATCTGGTTGCTGGACCTGATAGCGGGGTGAACGGGAGGGACTGGGGGTCACCTGCTGGGATGACAGAGCCTTGAGAAACAACAGGGAGTGAGCAGAGAGGTGCTCAATGAGGAGAATGCCCTGATTTTGGCCACGGCACTCACACAGCTGGATTTAAAGATCGTCTTCTATCTGCTCCTCCTCCTTGCTCTCTCCTTTCTCCCGTCCACAGTACACACTGCAATAAGACAGATTTTTCTAGAACACTGTCCTGCCTTTACTACCAGTTAAACCACATTTCACAGCCTCCTGTGTCGAAACCCAAATCTGTCGTCAGGTTAAAGCACCCTCTATTACAGGTGCACAACGATTTCCTGTCTCTTACTCGTACCTGGCCCTGCTTCGGCCAGGGGGCCTCCTTGGGGTTTTCCTTTCCAGGGCCTCTAATCACCTCCATGCCTGCCCCACTCCTGCTGGTCCTTGGCTTGGGTATCAGCTGCCTCATCTCAGCCCACCCAATCCTGTCTGTCCTCCCACTGAAACGACACGGTAGCGGGCAGCAGGGACGGCGCTCTTCTCGGCTTCCTTACGCTCTGGGTGCTCAGGCCAATGACTCCTTGTTCTCGGATGTTCTCTAATTCAAGTATATCTGCCAAGGCTCCCTGAGCTTGATCACAGAGTTGCTGGGGAAAGGACATGTTTTGCACTTCTCTCCTGCCCACGGAGTACCCAGCAGCCTTGCTCAGAAAGTCGAAGTAATGACCGACCGACCGTAACCCCGGAGCCCAGTGAGGGGCACAGGTGGGTGATGGAGGGCACGGAGCAGCCGCCAGGTGGAGAGATGAACTACGCCAGCACAAGGCAAATGATCTGTGAAGGTACACACTGAGACAACGCTTGAGCATTATACTGGCATGCTTATCTACCAGAAACATCTCCTGCCGAAGAGAAGGAATGACTCAGGCAACTGACATGAGCCAGCCCCTGTCACCAGCCACCCAGTGCTGGCACAGGAGGAGTGGCCAGGACAGCAGGGACGGCTCTACTCTCGGGCTGGACTGGCTAGCGACAGCAACAGAGACCAGTGCTGAGCCCTCGCACACCACTCCTGCTCAAGGAGAAGCAAGACAGTGCAAGACAGGCTATGCTGGGCCCTTTTCACTCTGGAAGGGACAGTGTTATGTACCGAAAGCTGCCCACCCCAAATTCACAGGTTGAAGTTCCTAACCCCCCCTGTGACCAGAGCTGGGGACAGGGCCTTTCAGGAGGTAATTAAGGTTAAATGAGATCATAAGGGTGGGACCTAAATCCAACAGGACTGCTGTCCTCCTAAGACAAGACACCAAGACATGCGCACTCTGGGAAGGGGCCGTGTGAGGCCGGAGTGGGAAAGGTGGTCATCGGCAGGCCCGGGAGAGTCCTCTCCAAAACCGACCCTGCCTGCACGCTGATCTTGGACTTCTAGCCCCCACAACAGGAAGGAAAGAATGTTCTGCTGGTCAGACCTGGTGCTGTGGTATTCTGCTATGGCAGCCTGAGTGGACGCTAACGAAGGCAGCGACGCGGCGTCACCGGAGCGGACACGCACTCTGGTTCTAGTTCCGCTGCCTCTTCTGTCAGCCAGAGCCCCCACCTGGGGGTTACAGAAGCTTGCTCCACCCACCAGGCTTCCAGCTAACGTCGTGTCACATCGCAAGGTCGCTTATAAGGGGCGCATGGGCGGCACGGACCCCCTCACACATCGCACGGCTCCCCAGTCTGGAGGGGGAGCTCTGCAAGGACAGCTCTGGGGGTTCCAGCACGCGGTACAAACCCTACATCAACAACCACCATCCAGGCGCTGCGTGCCCAGCAGGGAGAACCTGCTGGGTTCTGGGAAGGTTCTGGGAAGGTTCTGGGAAGAAGACGGAGGAGGGGCAGTGGCCCTAAGTACACTCTCAACCAGTGACCTGCTTGGGAATCTGGGCTTCCTGTCCCTGAAACTAGATTCCATGGGCTCAGCGAGCTCGCCTCCCAGGAGGGTAACACTTCCACTGGGGACAAGATAAGGCCATTACATGTGAAGTGACAGCTGCTGCCCAGTCATTTTGGGCTCTCGTGCCGAGAGCAGCAGGCCAGGAAAGAAGTCATTTTCATGGCAGGATTAAGTAATTGTAATCCTCCAGAAAAGGCACAACTAGGGGGACAAAAGTAGGAGGGAAAAACATGTGTGGCATGAGGGTGTCTCCTAGGATGCCCATGCCCTGGTTTTTACAGTAAAAGGACAAGGGCAGCAGACGCAGCCTGAGAGAGGCAAGGCGACCGGGGACTGAGACTTCACGGGGATGACGCTCTGTGTCACTTCACCAAGACTGTCTTCCTGCCAATGGTCAAATGGAAAGCAGAAGAGGGACGGGGTGGCCAGGGTGGCCTGGAGAGTATCTTCCCCAGAAGGAGATGAAGTGTGTCCTAATCTTCCTCTTGAAGGTTTCTCCTGGGGTAAGAGCATCACTGGAGTCCTGCAGGAGCTGCTCCAAGAACTTCTGTCAACCAGGAAGATGCCAGCAGCACAAGGGGTGGGTGCTTTGGCCCACCGCCTGGATCCCCTGCCTCCCCAGGACAGAAGTGCTCCACTTTCCTGCCGAGGGGGACTGCTGGCAGCGGAAAGCTCTCCAGGGACACCCCCTGCGGACAGCATGCAACACAGGACAGCCAGTCAGCCCCAGACCTGCAGTTTGCACCCAGTGACCGGCTGGTGGAGGTTTCAAGTGTCAGCTCTTTGGCCAATTCCAGTGCAATTTGGAAGGGCTCTCCATGGCTCTCTGTGAGGCTGGCTCAGACCCTCTTCGTAATTCTTGGTTAGTCTCCCCGTGTCCTTCACCACCACTCCCCCCAAAAGATGCGGATTCCGACAGTGTTCCCTAAGAAACTTGTTGCATGAAGATGTCCCTGGGGATGCGAAGCTAAGCAATACGACCTCTCTGGTTTGCTCACAAGCATGGGCTCCACGAGCTATCTGATGGGGAGTCCTAGGTATTCCGGAAGTACCTCAGTCAATGTATTTCCCCCAGATCTGCTCTTTTGGTATTGGAGAAATGGTGCTGTCATCAATCCATCCCACTATCTAAGCCAGAAACCTCAGAATCATACCCTGTCTCTTTCTCTCCCTTACAGCTCTGCCCATTCTGCCTGGAAAATATTTATACTCACCATGACTTCAGTTTTTGGACCTGGTCTTTCTGAGTTCTCATACTCTTCATTCTTCCTTCTCTCTCCTTGTAGGATCCAGCTCCCCCTCTTGCTACACACAAGGCTCCTTCCATGGCTTATGTTCATCTTGGATATAATTCTCTTAAAGGACTCACTTAGCACCTACTCAACCCTCTGAAGCTGACTCCATGATCTACACCTCCAGCTCTGAGGTGAGAGGTCTGTCCTCCACACTTAAATACATCATAGGTGTCTTTGTTGTATGTTCCAGAGTCATCTCAAGGTCAAATATCTCTGTAGGGAACAACCTGGGTTTTCTTTTTCACCTATAGGCTCAGCCCATTAATAAGGGTATATAAACTCTAGGACCCCTATCTCCAATGGGACACCTGGGATGCCACACTTGATCTCACTTTTCCAGACCACCGTGAGGCCTGCAGACCTAGTTCTCACAACCCGGTGAAGGCAGGAAGGAAACAGGGAGATGGCGTGAGAGAACAGTATCCTCTCTCATACCCCAGAGGGTAAAGGAGATGGACATAGAGATAAAGAGCTTGGTGTGCTGGATGGCAGAGTGCCAGAGCAAGATCAGTAGGAGGGTCGGGCTGATATACAGTAACCCTTGAAAGACAGGGGTACCATTAGAGTGTTTGCATACAGCAGTTTTTGTAGATAAATGTGCAGTATTTCCTGATACTGATGATGAAGTTAAGAAAACACAGCCTTTGATTCACTGGTTATTCCCCTGAAACTTTCTCATTTTCATAGTCTCTTCCTTTCAACCAAGGAAAATTGAGAAGCTTCACATCTGCCCTTCACTGCAGCGCATATGATAACCAGCATTTTTAACAGGAACACACTGTGGCTTTTACAAGATTATAAGGACAGATAAATATCATGTCTTATTAACTAAGTTGGAGTTTCTCTAAGAAATTATGTTTATCTAATAGAAGTGGAATAAGAATGCCCAGTTTGACCAGTCCTTTCAGCTGCAAATTTTTTGTTTTACTTAAAAAAACAAAAAAACCCAAAGCGCTAAGAAAACCACTAACAGAGACCTACGTCCTATGTGGAAACGTCACGTTCTCCAGGCTGCCATGCACAGGAGTGACGCGTCCTCTTGGCTGCACGGGAAGCCGCAGAGGTGAAGTGTGCCGAGCACTTGGGCCTTTCCAATCTGTCTGCCACTGCTTACCTGCTGTCTCTGTCGTCTCACTTGTGCAAACTGAGAAAGCGTCAGCTGCCGGTCAAGCCGCTCCATCCTCTGCTGTCTCTGGATGTCGACGGTGGCCCCCATCCCAATCCGGGCTTCGGTGGCAGGTTCTGGAGATGAGAAGATGGGCTCCAGCGTCCAAGAAAAGAACTTTGCCATCCATATGGGAATGCAGAGCGCCTGGTGGAGCCGGAATACTTTGCTGTGGTAGCAGAGGCCCGATGCCTGAAAGGAGGAGGTCCAATGGGATGGTTTCACCATAACCGTGTTCGAGAACATACTAACACAGAAATCAGGAAGACCACAAAATACTTCCCAGGCTGTGCTCCTTCATTCTAGCAGTGCTGGGTGGTAAACAACACTCCTATCAGGTGCATAGCAGTAAGCAGGACAAGTAAACAAGAACTTAATTTACTCACTAAACAAATCTGTTTTTATAAAGCTAGAAGAGACAGCGAAATCCTACCACTTTACACTCAAAGAACTGGCCAAGTATTTAAAAAACAATGTTTTCTTTAACAAAAAAAGCCATACAAGATCTGATTACTGAAACACTTTCACACTGTACTACCTCTGTGGTTACTCTTACTGGCAGATGGCCCTCAGAGAGATACTGGCAGAAAACAACTTTAAGGGATGTCTGAGTGGCTCAGAGGATTGAGCGTCTGCCTTTGGCTCAGGTCATGATCCCAGGGTCCTGGGATCGAGTCCTACATTGGGCTCCCTGCTTCTCCCTCTCCCTGTCAATCCCCCTGCTTGTGCTCTCTCTTTTTCTTGCTGACAAATAAATAAAATCTTAAAAAAAAAAAACAACAAAAACCTTTAATGGCCAATGATGCAATCCAGACATATAATAAATTTATCAGAAAATAAAGACAGTTTACAATTTACATAGTGTTCTGATACATTTTTCAAGTACTGATTTTTCTAGTTTTAAAATCCTTGCCAATAGTAATTCACAATTCTATTTACAAACAAGCCTATTTTTTTTTTCATCTTTAAGGTAATGTATATGGTATGAGACATCTAAAGACTGGTTTTCTAGGTTAAAATGAGTTTGGCTATTCTTTTGTAAAAAAAATCTTTACTTTTGTGAATCTGATTCTTAGGATAAATTATTCATAGCAAATTAGAACATATTTGACAATGTGCTAATAGGAGAAAAGTACACTTTAATGCTTTAATAAAATTTAAATCAATTAATGAGGCAAGACTTTGTTGAGCACTGTTCGAGGCACTCGGTGGACAGTGGAGGACAAGATCGACAAGGCCCTGTTCTTGTACAGGTAACAGCGGTCCGAATGGCGAATACAGAGTGAGGCAGCAAACACATAAAACAATTCCAGATAAGTTCTGTGAAGGAAACAAAATAAAGTGGCCTGGAGCAAGGACCGTCTGTAGGTCAGTGCCAGGGAAGCTTTGGAGGAAGTGACGTTTGAGCAAAGCTCTTCAGGATAATGGGGTGCCAGTGATCTGAAGACGTGGGAAGAACATCTCAGGCAGGGCAAACAGAAACGCGACGCAGCAGTGGGCCCGGAGCATCTAGGAGAGATCCGGGCGGGGACCTGGACCTCCAGGGAAAGTTCAGCAGAGGTAAGCATCTGGGGGTCTGCGGCACTGACAGCAGTTCAAGCCATGGGAATAGGTAAGAGCAAGGGTGCGGGACAAACAACAGAAGGGAGAACTTCGGACTCAACCCAGCAATATTCTGTGCGTGGATGGGGTAGAAGCCAGTGGAGCCATCTGGCAGCCCACCAGGGGACAGGTGGAAAAGGCTTAGCATGGGCAAAGCACAGAGAACATCTCAGGCTGGGGACAGCCACTATGTACCACACAGCTCCGTGGTCAACCAGGCCAGGGAGTAAAATGACCCCCGGATCTGGCAAAAACGGAAGCCTTTGATGATCTTATAAGTACAGTTTCGGTGCTGTGGTAGGATCGAGACACAGACTGGTACAGAGAGAAGAGTGAGGCAGAGGAGTTTTGGTTTCAAATAATTTCTATGTCACTTCTCTCAAAACCGGTACAGAAGAACAAAGAAAATGAAAATAGAAACAAATTCCACATTCAATGAAACTAGAAAGCATCTGTAATCCTGAACCACACTAACAAAATGGGAAATACTGAGTATTTAGAAATCACTTGGCGCAGGGGAAGAAAGAGAAATCCAAGTGCTGGCAAGGTCCCTGAGGGCTCAGACAGGCTCAGCGATTAGAGGCACCAGGAATGCAGAAGGCTGGAGCAATGTGAGGGCCTGTCTCCAGAGGAAGCAACCCCAATTCCTGCCCAACCCAGCGTTGCCCATACCCACCCTCTCTCCTCCAGGGAGAAGGTAGAACTTCTGCAGGGCGTGAACCAAGGAGGTTCCTGAAGTGGGCAGAGCCGGCTCTGAGGGGAGGCCCGGGGCTCTGTCCCCAAGATTCCGCCCAGACAAAGGTCTCACAGAGTGAGGTCTCATACGACTTCCAGAAGAAAACAACGGAGGGAGTACGGACAGAGCAGAACTCTACTTCAAGAGATAATAGTTAAGATTTCTCCAGAATTAATAAAAAATATAAATCCCAGATCGATAATGCAAGAGTCCCAAGAAGGATAACAAAATGGAATTTATATCTAGATGCACTGTTGTGAAACAAAGAAGCCCTTAAAAGTTACCAGAGATAAAAGAGACTGCCTAGAAAGGAAAAAGCATTAACTATCTGCAGAACAGCAAACTGTGAAAAAGAAAATTTTGAAACTATAAAAAAAGAGGCACACTAAAGAAAATCCTAGTAATAAATAAAGGCATCACATCCATGAATGGGAAGATGTAAAACTATTAATATACAAATTTCCACCAAATCAAGATACAAAGTCAATGTAATTCAAAATAAAAGCTTAACAGCTTTTTGTTGTTGTCGGAACTTAAATGCCACCTCTAAAATGTACTGCATTTGGAATATTTAAAGTTTAAGTTTTAAAAACATAATGTTAGGAGAAAGCCACCAGACAAAAAATATATTATATGATTCCATTTTTGTAAGTGGATCGATCTGAACGATCTATCTCCAGTGGGAAAACCATAGAGCGAAGCATGAGGGTGACCAACTGTCCATCCTGCGAGACCCGGGAGGGAGGGGGCGCTCCGAGGCTGGAAGCACTCTGCCCTGTGTGGCGTTTTATGGGTGTGTCCACTTTCCAGTGTTTGGTTTCATGACATTTCTAGTTTACAAACACCTGGGTGTGTTATATATATACAATAAAAAGACTTAAAAAAAAAACTAAAGGGGGCGCCTGGGTGGCTCAGTGGGTTGGGCCGCTGCCTTCGGCTCGGGTCATGATCTCAGGGTCCTGGGATAGAGCCCCACGTCGGGCTCTCTGCTCGGCAGGGAGCCTGCTTCCTCCTCGCTCTCTGCCTGCCGCTCTGCCTGCTTGTGATCTCTCTCTGTCAAATAAATAAATAAAATCCTTAAAAAAAAAAAGGATCCATAATGGCCAATGTAATGATATTAAGGCTTATCAGATTTCAGGATATGATATAAAGTTTGAGTAATTAAAACAGTGTAGTTTCTATGTAGAGCTACTCAAAGCGACCTAAAGACCAAGCGCATAGAAAGAGGCTGCGGGGGACAAGGGCACGTGGTAAGTCAGAGGGAGCTCTACATAAGGCTGCAGAACAGACCCACCTTCCCATCATGTGTAAACTCCCAACGGATTAAGGAAATAACTCACCGAACTTTAAATCTTTCTGCACAAAATACAGAAGGCACATCTTTTTGACACTGGGATGGGAAGGATTTTTTTTTTTTAAGATTTTATTTATTTATTTGATAGAGAGAGAGATCATAAGCAGGCAGAGAGGCAGGCAGAGAGAAAGGGGGCAGCAGGCTCCCCGCTGAACAGAGTGCCCCATGCGGGACTCAATCCCAAGACCCTGAGATCATGACCTGAGCTGAAGGCAGAGGCCTAATCCATTGAGCCACCCAGGCGCTCCAGGATTTTTAAACAAGGACCAGAAAGTACAAACTATAAAAGAAAATATACATTTACTTACTTTACAATTTAAAATCTACAAGTATGCCACAAATTACCCTAAGTGAAGTCAAAGGACAAGTAAGAGCTTAGAGAAGGTCCTTAGAATCCTTGCAGGCAACAAAGGCAATGTTCAAATACATAAGGAAACTATACATTTATCAGAGCGAGACAATCAACCCAACTTAAGAAGCAGGTGAAAAGAAGAGGAAATTCAAAAGGCCAACAAACACACGAAAAGATTTTTATACTCACTTGTTTTTAGGGAAATGCAATGTTAAATATAGGAATAGGAAAAAAAAGGGAAAATCTGCGATCCAGTTTGGGTGAGGACGAGAACAGAGAACCCTCCCAGTGCTGAGGGAAAAGTCCAAGTGTAAAGTGGTCAGAGCTCCGCGGAGAGCCATCCAGCCATCCGACAACGCCCGTGCAGGGCTGAAGCCCAGCCTTCCGGAATCTTCAACTGCAGAGCTGACTGTAACAGCTAGGAAACGGAAACAAAGTGTCCCCAGACAGGAATGGCTGAGGGCTGGCTCATTCATCCAAGGCAACACTAAGCTGCAGTTCAAATAAATTCGGTGTACATGTGTTACGGTATTTTTAAATTTATCATATACCAAGGCCATCTTTTTACAAGATTCACAAACACAAGACAATAGTATATACTATTTATGGGCACAAACTTATGTAGTAAGTACAGAACCACGGAGCTTTTTTTTCCCCCTACAGCAGGATGAAGGAAACAGAAGGTGCTGGGGGTAGCAATATCTGTGTGTTTGTGCGTGTGTGTGTGTATAATTTTTTTTAAACAAAGAAAGAGGGAGTAATTATGGCAAAAACATATAACAGATTGGAAGCAAGGAAGCAAGGAATTGGAAATTCCTTTTCTGAAGATCTGAGTAGGAAGGAAAACAGAAAATTGTACTGCTTTTGCTTAAGACAGCAGAATGTTGTTATACACATAACCAACTGATGAAAAACAACTGATTAAAACAGAACTGCGAGATCTGAATTAAGTATAAAAATTAAAATTTTTGGTCTTTAATTTCAAAGCCTCAACCATGATTGTGAATTTGTCCACTTCTCCCTTTAGTTCCCTTTTAACTTCTTTTTTTTTTTTTTTTAAAGATTTTATTATTTATTTGTCAGAGAGAGAGGGAGAGAGAGCGAGCACAGGCAGACAGAAAGGCAGGCAGAGGCAGAGGGAGAAGCAG